TATTTTCGACTTCTTGTTAAAAACCACAAGTCCAATTGCTTTGATATTACATATATAGGTACTACATGTGGACCTCTCTCAGATTTGTTCATTTTGTAATGATATCTTTAATTCTCTAATTTTGGTGAATATTTTTGTCATTTTTGGTAAAAAGTGATATTTTCGACTTCTTGTTAAAAACCACAAGTCCAATTGCTTTGATATTACATATATAGGTACTTCATGTGGGCCACTCTTAAATTTGTTCATTTCATGATGATATCTTTAAATTTCTAATTTTGGTGAATATTTTTGTAATTTTTGGTAAAAAGTGATATTTTCAACTTCTTGTTAAAAACTGCAAGTCTAATTGCTTTGATATTACATATATAGGTATTACATGTGGACCTCTCTCAGATTTGTTCTTTTTGTAATGATATCTTTAATTCTCTAATTTTGGTGAATATTTTTGTCATTTTTGGTAAAAAGTGATATTTTCGACTTCTTGTTAAAAACCACAAGTCCAATTGCTTTGATATTACATATATAAATACTACATATGGACCACTCTCAAATTTGTTCATTTCATGATGATATCTTCAATTCTCTAATTTTGATGAATATTTTTGTTATTTTTGGTAAAAAGTGATATTTTCTTGTTGTTTAAAACCACAATCATTTATGGTCAAAAATGATATTTTTGAATTCTTGTTGAAAACAGCAAGTTCCATTGCATTGATACTATGCATATTGTTCATTTTCTAATGATATCTTCTGTTCTTTAATTGAAATGTGCATTGCTAACAGCGGAGCTATCTCAGCCGAGAGGCTGCTTGTTTAATTATTTGCATATACATGTAAAATATCCCCAAGTTTACAGCCACTACATCACTTCATCGAATAACACACGGCCTCTTTGCAGTCACATGATGGTTTATATTGTTTGCAGCGTAACAAAGAAAAAAACTTTGATGGCTGAGAATTAATGCAGCATCACTAATGTTTTTTTCCAATAATGAGCTTTTTTTACAAGTATCGGAATAATTAAAATAAAAAATACATGAGTACAGATTAAAGCACATTAAATTTCTGTAAATTGGGTGAAACGTAGAGTATTCAGAATAAAGTATATAATAAAAACATCACAAGTGCAGTTCAGTTCCAAACAAATATAAAACGTATTGTTGTATGCGATTTTAATATTATTTATAAGCATTTGTGACTATTTCACCATACAAGGGAAAAGTACATATACATGTATTAGTACAAATAATATGGACTTCATCATTAAAACTACAGTTACTAAATTTAAAATTTTAAAATATTAGCAACTGTATAAAAATCTTGAGTCTGACACCTAATATGGGTTATGGTGACGCTCATGAAAAAATAATTTAAAAGTACATGTATTTTAATATCGTACTGTGGTATAAGATATTATGACCAATGACATACATGTAAGATGGAGACAAGAGTGCATAGCCACATAATTGCTCA